CGGTACTTCCTGCTGGTTGTCGACGACTACACGCGTTACACCACGGCGTTCCCCTTGCGGCGCAAGAGGGATGTCCTTGCTGTTTTGATTCCTTGGATCTGCGCTTTTTGTCTCTAGCTCCGCGAGCGGTTCGACCACGACTTTCCTGTCCTGCGTTTGCACTCTGACAGAGGTGGTGAGTTCACCTCTGACCTCTTGCGAGCCTTCTGTAAGGAGGAGGGAATCCTCCAGTCATTCACGCTTCTAACCTCCCCGCGGCAGAATGGGGTTGCTGAGCGCCGCATTGGCATAGTCATGGAGGTCGCTCGTACCTCCATGATCCATGCGGTTGCTCCCCATTTTCTGTGGCCGTTTGCAGTCCGGTACGCCGCGCATCAGCTCAACCTCTGGCCCCGTGTCTCCATGCCGGAGACTTTGCCCACACTACGTTGGACGGGGGAGGTTGGCGATGCGTCGCATTTCCGGGTCTGGGGTGCTCGTGCCTTTGTTCGCGATACCACCGCGGACAAGCTGTCCGCCTGCGCCATTCCCTGCGTCTTCCTTGGCTTTCCCCCTGACGCGCCTGGCTGGCAGTTTTACGACCCCGCCTCGCGCCGTGTCTTTGCGTCTCAGGACGTCACCTTTGACGAGTCGGTCCCCTTTTACCGTCTCTTTCCCTACCGTAATGCCCCTCTTCCCCCCCACCGCTCTTTCTCGCTCCAGGTCCCCCACTCCCAGGTAGACCCCCTCCCCCCTCCAGGTCCTGCTCCTTCAGGTGTGTCTCAGGTAGACCCTCCTCCCTTGATTTAGCCTGTTGAGGTCACTGGTGACTCAGGTCCTACTGGGGGTGGTCCTGCTCGGGGTGCTGCTTCTGGGGGTGCTGAGCCTGGGGGTGCGGAGCCTGGGGATGCTGAGCCTGAGGGTGCAGAGCCTGGAGGTGCTGAGCCTGAGCGTGAGGAGCCTGGATCTGGATGCTGAGCCTGAGGGTGCGGAGCTTGGAGTTGCTGATCCTGGGAGTGCTGAGCCTGGGGGTGCTGAGCCTGGGGGTACTGAGTCTGGGGGTGCTGCGCCTGGGGGTACTGAGGCGTCTGGTGAGCAGTCTTCTTGGAGCAACTGCCTACGTAGTCGCTCCGCTTGTGCCTCACCGCAGCATTCTCGTCTGCGTGTGCCTCTCTCCACACAGCAGCTGCGTGAGTGGTACGTTAGCCGTCAGGGTCGCGCTGCTGGAGCTGGGGGCCCTGCTGCGGGAGGCGCTGGCGTTGGAGGCACTGGAGCTGGTGACTCTGCTACTGGAGGCGCTTCTGCTGACGTCACTGGAGCTGGGGGTGCCGGTTCTGGGGGTGCCAAGTCTGAGCGTGCTGAGACTGGCAGTACTTTGTCTACTGGAGTTACTGGAGCCGTTGGTCCCGGAGGTGCTCGTACTGGAGGTACTGGAGGTGCTAGCGCTGGAGGTTCTGGAGCTGCTGGTGGCGCTGGTATTGGAGGTGCTGGCGCTAGAGGTTCTGGAGCTGCTGGAGGTGCTGGAGCTACTGGTGCTGGTGGCACTGCACGGCCATGACTCTTTTTCGCTCCGACATCAACGTCGTCTCTGCCACTGCCTGACTCCGTGCTTTGCCAGGTTCTTAGCCTCCCGTCTTCTACGGGTATTCCGTTACAACCTGGCTCACCACTGCCTACTCCTTCTCCTTACACTGAGCAGACAGGAGGTCTTGCTGAGCGTCGTGAGCCTGCGTCCCGTCCTGTCTCGCCTGTTCGCACTGGTCGTACTGGTCGTCGTGTTCCTCGTGAGCGTCCGCCTCCTGTCCCCGGCACGCACCTCATGGCCCTTCGTCCTTCCTCTGCTCCACAGCGTGTTCCCCTGCCGTCCCCTCCTGCGTCCTCTCTGCCTGACGTTCCAGACCCTGAGTCTGACCGGGTTCGTTCTGCTCACCCTACTGTCACGCGTCTGCTCGCCACTGTTGTCACTGACCCTTCGTTTGAGTCCACTGCTGCGTCTGCCTTGGTCGCTGAGCTTGTTGACTTTGCTGCTGCCTGTCGTCTAGACTACGCTGCTAGTCTTTCCCACAGGAACAAGTGGTGTATGATGCAGTGGTGGCTGCTGCGGTTGCTCTTGCTGCTGGTGTACTTGCTGTTCTTGAGGCGGTTGTGTGTCAAGGTCTGGTTGGTTAGGGTTAGGGGTGGAACCAGTAGTTAGGTACAGCTGCCTTTTGTTCCTCTTGTTGCTCCTTTACCCCCTCCCCAGGGTCCTCCCATGCCCCCTAAAAAATGGAAGCGGTGTACGGATCCTGGAGGAACTCCCAACCGTACCAGTACCATGCTCCTTCCACCCCTTGTAGCTCAGCCCCTCATGGAAAACCACGTCCCGACTTTCCACCACTTGCTGATCCGCCACACTCCAATACATCCAAGCCTTGCTCCTCTCTGACACCCCAAGGAAAATGCCCCATTGTGCCTTGGGATCCAGCTTCCTCTGTTGTTGTTCTGGCACTTTGTACTGCACTATGCACCCCCACACTCATGCCATGGATACACTAAGCACCTTCCTACTCTACATGAAGTATGGGCTCTTGTCCCCTAGCCCCTCCGGTGCCCATCCGGTTCTTAACCCAATTGGCATATTGCATTGCTGCCCCCCCCCCAAGTATGGTCCAACTGCACATGAGCAAGAATTGCTTGGGCAAGGTCAATGAGGGTCAGGTTCAGCCGCATGGTGGCATGTAGGCAACTAAAAATTGGTGGAAGATGCCCTTTCTTCAAGGAAGGTCTTCAGGTCATTCCCCATATACTCCCTACCCCGATCATACCTTAGTATCTTCACCTTGGCCCTGACTTCCCACTCCGCATAGCGTATCCAATGCTTGAACACCTTTGCCACCTCATCCTTGGTTTTCACCACGTGACCCAACTAAAGCATATGTAGTCTTCCAGGAAGGTGATAAAGTATTGGTTGCCCTTCTCCCTATCCGGTTTTTGCGTAGGGCCACACGAGATTGTCTGCTCCACCATGCCGACCATCAAGCACGACGCCTTCTCATCGTCTCGGCCCTTGCTGCTGGAGGAGTCGATGTCATTCATCAACGATGTCTTCTTTGATGACTGCTTCTCCTTACGCGGCTTCTCATCTCGACGTGGACGACGACTGGTAGACCGTCCGCGACCTCCCTTGCTGTCGTCCTCATCGCTATCGTCGCGGTCGGGACATTCGAAGGAGATGTGGTCGGGGTTGCCGCAGGGCCAGCACTTTCGCCATCGACCACCACCTCTTTGAACGATATCTCTACCTGACTTCTTTTGGTTGACGCCTTTCGTCGACCTCCCACCTCCGCTACCACCTATGCTCGGCTTCCCGCGCTGCCCCGGCGGACGATTCTGCTTCGTCAGGGCGGCGTACTTGCCTGTGGAAGGAGCTCCATGGGCCAAACTTCCTCTTGCGTTGCCTCATCCCTGATGATGTGCGGGGTCAGGGTGTCCTCGTCATCACCATCAATCGGCGTATCAAGTTGTAACCGCTCGGAGGCCTCTTCACGACGTGCGGGATGTACGACGCTCTCGAGTAGTCGACCCCGGTCATCCTCATGTTGGCAAGAAGCCGTCGAGCCCGGTTACAGTAGTCAGTTGCCGTCTCCTGATCGCCCATCCCCAGGTGCATCAGTTTCTCCTCCATCTGGTTGATGTATAGGTCGTCGTTCGCCTGGTAAGTCGATTTACCCGGCGGTGCTGCTCATCGGTGGTCCAGATCGCTCCGAGTCATTGGCAAAACGCATCAAGCTGGCTATCTCTGGATGGGGCTCGATGCATTCGTTCCATATGATCAGGTCATGTCGAGCGACCAGTGGCACCGGGACCGCGACCTTGTCCGGCGTGAACTTGAAGTAGCCGTAAGACGGCACAATCTGCTCGCCGCCACGTGGGTCGCCAGCCAGCGCCACAGTGCTTTGCTAGGGGGAGCGGCGGCGTCTGCCGACGTCGCCATGCGGGGTCTATGGTCGCTGACGACCGTAGCCATTGCGCTTGCTCCTTGCTGACTTCGACGTCGGCGGTCCTGATAACTCCTCTCTTTTTTGTGCCCTCGCTGCTGCTGACTTCTTCACCGTTGTCGGCCTCCTCGTCGACGCCGCCTTCGTTTCGCACCGGTCGAGGAGATGCTGGTCAGGAAGGGTGTGCTGTCGCCCACTTTGCACGGATCCCCATGAGAACCACCTTCAAGTGGAGCAACGGCCCGAACTCGCCATCTCCATGGCGTCGTGTCGAATCAGCCAAACGTGCCTTCAACGTATCCTGGGGTAGGCGTCATGGTCTGCACGGACTGCCAGCCTACAAACGACTTAAGTAGTGCAAAAGTCAGCTCCTATCTAAAGGTTGTATGTTCGGTCCACACTCACCGTACCATGTGGAGAGTCACTCTATAATGGTGGTAGCTAGACAACGAGAAATGCACGAATGTGTGATTGATGGTCGTGCTTCTTAGTGTTCTCTAGCAATTCATAGTGGAAATTGGGAAGAGTTGAGTACAACAATGATAGCAATAGCAAAGGTAACAATGTTTACATCAGGGCCTAGCAACCTAGCAGGCAAGCTAGTCAACCGCCAACGCGGCAAGGTCGTTAGTCTGCTTGTGTTGCGTAGAGGCACCGCGTTAGCATTGCAGATCTGCTAGCAAGGCAAGTCCGCGCCTTGCCAACGCTGCACCAAGAGGCTCGCTAACTTAGTATTCGCAGGTGATTGTAGTGCAAACGCATGTGCGTGGCGATGAACGAGCACTTTCTCTACCGTCGCGCAGGTACCAAGTTGTGAGAGTACGACGACTTTTGCTAGGCTTTGCTTGCTTGCCTTTACTTTATTATACTTTATCTAGCTTAGGCTTAATTCATCTTGCGTGCTTTTGATTGATTTCCTAGGTTAGCTGCTTTACTATATTTATTGTAGTTTTTTGCACCGAACTAGGATTGTGTGCACCAGATTCTGTGCTTTTTGGTTTCCACCAAATTGCTTCTACCGAGTTCGAGAAAGATCCATTCGCGATGTTTTGCGACCCTCGGAACCTTCGCGTAACACCTGGTTACCTGCCTTGTGTCAAGTGATCGTGTTGTACCCTGGTGATCAATCATTTCATTCTAAACCAGTTCCTCGAACCTCACACAAGTCGGCCACGTGTCAACGGTTGCGCCTGATGCTCCACGTCGACCTTAGGATACCATCCTGAGATCGCCTTCGCCATAGCGACCTCGACGATAGTCGCACGCCTTCGCAGAACCTCGTCGATGGGGTAACCTAGTCGACCGGCTCGACCGGGACGAAGAAGAAGAAGAAGAAGAAGAAGAAGAAGAAGAAGAAGAAGAAGAAGAAGAAGAAGAAGAAGAAGAAGAAGAAGAAGAAGAAGAAGAAGAAGAAGAAGAAGAAGAAGAAGAAGAAGAAGAAAGAAGAAGAAGAAGAAATGCACATGTGCCTTCCCCGTAGTTAAGCTCCCATTTTACGAGTTATCTCCGCACGTCGAAGAGGTTTTGGTGAAACCATCCTCGGTAGTTGTTTCTCAAAGTCGACATGGCTCGTCAGGCGCAACCAACGGTACGTGGCTGACTCTGCAGCGCGGCATCAACATGACAGTGCTCGTCGCACCAACCGTCTATGAGCACCTACGAAGTAGGTACGCTGCTGTCACCTGCGGATGCAATGCTGGGCGGCCGCCCACTTGCACAGTTGGCAAGCCACCGACTTGTTAAGTTGGCAAGACGCCATTCTGCAGCGCTGGAGCGGTGCGGGACTTGCAGCGTTTGAGGTCGACCTTTTAATGTGCACATAGAGAGGACACAAGCAAATGCTAAGGAGCATTGTGACCACGCACACAACTCGTGCCTTCCCCATAGTCCACACTCCGCGAAATGTGCCCAGTGTACCGTACTAAATGGTCCAAAACAGGTTTTAGGCCACCCTGGCTAATGAGGGTTTCAGCATGTCCCATCCTGATGACTTAAGATAAAATATTTGGTCAATGGACAAATACAAGTTTTTTTTATTATTATTATTTATGTTTTTAAAGGAATATGGTTCAAGAATCAGGTTCAAAGGCACATTTATTTTGTTCCATTTCTAGAAACATTAGTAAGTCACTTGATCAGTTAGCGAGTTTCTTGGAGTAGTAAAGACGCAGGTTCAAACATTTGTGTCACTGAATGTTTTACTGAAGATATAGGTATTTCTTTGTGTATAATATCAGCATAAATCCTACACTACACTTTCTAGTGAGGGAAATAAAGCACTTATTTTGTTCTCTAAAAGTTGATTTTCTTTTCGAAAGGTACCTATCAAGTGTAACTTGAACGAAGTGGCCAACACAAAGAAAAAAGAAAGAAAGAAAGAAAGAAAGAAAGAAAGAAAGAAAGAAAGAAAGAAAGAAAGAAAGAAAGAAAGAACCCTTATATTGTTGGGACTTGATGTGCATCTGAACAAAGAAACAATGTCATGATGTGACGATCTTATTGCAAGCCTGAATGTACAGTATGTTAGAAACAATTAATTCTAAGCGCCTCTGTCGTGTCGAAACACCAAGTCAGAAGCGAAGCGAAGCATATAGAAGCACCGGCGAGTCAACCCTCGGAGGTTGAGCAGTTGCTAGAGGTTACGCGAAAGTCAAAGGTCAGCAACCTTTGACCTGACAAGTACAGCGCGACAGCAAGGACACACAACTGACTCGTTACAGAGCAGTTGCCCGAGTCGTCACTGTATCGAACCGCAACAGCAACAGTAAATCAGTTATTAAGTTATAACATTTGATATTCCTTGTACTCTTATAAAAGGCTTGTAACTCCTTGTTTTAATCAATCTACTTTGCCCTCACATACTAGCGCAAGGTGGTTCAAATACCTCATATTAAGCTTCCGCTACTACAACAAGTCCTATCCGGAGTTCACCCCTGCAAAGATCCTAAGGGCTTTCTCAGCCCAACATGGTATGAGAGCTAACAGGGGGAATTCAACTACTATCAAGTCACCTACAACATCAGAAGGCATGGCAACTCAGAAGGATAGGAGTTCCTCTAACGGTTCTCCTGGCACTACTCCTACTCCACCTCCTGCCTGTGGTCTACAGACAGAGGAGGGTACGGCAACAAGACCAAGGGAAACATTTACCGAGACTCCCGCGAATCAACCTGCAGGCTTCGACCAGAGCATGATGGAGAAGTTTTTCTCCTTCATGTCCTTCTACGAGCAGCACCAGCAATCGGCACATGCGCAGTCACACAACAGCAACAACAACGAAGTGACTCCCTTGAGCCTTGACGGCTCATCATACGCGCGCTGAAATCAACAGCAACAGCCTACCTTTGCTCCGTACGAGCGCGGGTCCATCAGCTTCATGCCGCACCCGCAGCCTTCACCTGGACAAGAGAAACCACTGGATGCGCTACAAGTTCAGTCGCAGTTCGCACACGTTCTGAAACTGCAGACGTCAAGACCTTTCGACGAAAAGGGCTTCGAGTTCGAGCTTATGATGGAAGGCGCGCAAATTCTCCGCTTCTTCGACGGATCCCTGCCATACCCAACAAACGGCACACAGTATGAGAAGCAGCAGTACACCTATCAGTCAATGATGGCGTACACAATCCTCCTAAGGAATATCACCCCGACTCAGCAGCAGAATATACGGTCTTACCGGGGATACGGCAACTCCGCCGAGCTCGCATACAGCCACTTGAAGAGCCTGTATCAAGCAACAGACAGCGTAAATCAGAGTCGGTTGATGGCACAACTGACAACAGTCGAAATGAAACCAGGGGAAAAGGGGATGGCGTATATCAGTCGCTGTCGCGAACTGCGCGACAAACTCCTTCGATGCGGAGGGTCGATATCTGAAGACGCCTTCGTGACAGTCATCATCGGCGGCCTCGGTCCTCAATGGCGCGCCACAAAAGCCATTCTCCGAGCCCACGGAAGAATCTCCGAAGCAGCACTTTGCGCTGAAATTCATGCCGAACAACAAGACATGGACCTGCAAGAAGAAAGGCACAAGAGGAAGACGTCAGCACCGGAATTCGCTTTCCACACTCAGCGACGCTACAACAACAACAACAACAACAACAACAACAACAACAACAACAACAACAACAACAACAACAACAACAACAACAACAACAACAACAACAACAACAACAACAACAACAACAACAACAACAACAACAACAACAACAACAACAACAATCGACAACAACCAAAGCCCATACCTTCATTCTGTCACATCTGCAAGACGTCAGGGCACCCGCGCACGTCAACTTCGCCCTTCTAGCAGCCAAGTGGCATCGACACAGGCGAACCCCACGAGTCAGCCGCAGTCTTAACAACACAATCTGCACAAGGAGCAAGAAACATCGTCAGCTGCATGGCAAGACTGACAGATTCCTGCATCACCGAATCACCACCACACTACTCACCAGAGGAGCAACTAGACAACAGTACGCCCCGCCGCGAGTCACCGACCCCCATCTGCACGAGCCGGCCGATTCTCCCAACGCGCACAGTGGGGACTACACCTGGGCATCGAAAAACATTACAACGCATGGAAGATTTTCGACATCAACACCAAGGAAACAGTAGCAGAACGTGATGTCATCTTCTACGAGAACCTCACCCTCCGAACTCACCTCGCCTACGTGGAAGAAAACAGACTTGACCTCTCGGGCGGATTTCTTGGGAACCGAGCCTTCGCTTCGGCAGAAGATGAAGCTGACTGGGACGAGCAGAACGTGGAAGGAGCCTCCCCCCTACTGCAGCCGGACCTCCCCCCTACTGCTCAGTCGACGTTCCGATGGACGACGAAAGTCCTCGCGAAAGTAACAACGCCGACGTCCACTACCACTTCGCCGATAACGGTTACGTTACACCTGCACAGGTCAACACCAACGAAGCAGAACGCGTAGGACCCAATTTCATACCTGATCCAGAAGCGGGAGACGAAGCAGTCTATCCCGAGGACACAACACTCCCCCGCTACACACAGAGTGGGCTCCAGATACTTGGTCTCGTCACCGCAGTTCACGGCACGGCGATTCCTAAGGAGCCTGCTACCGTTCACCAGGCTCTGGTGGGGGAGCATAGGGAAAATTGGCGCGAAGCCATGGACAGGGAGCTGAAAGCGTTGGAGGAACGCAACACTTGGAAAGTCGTTCCCATCGGCGTAGCGCGAAACAAGACAATACTCACCGGGAAATGGGTCTTCCGTGTGAAGACGAAGGCTGACGGCACCATCGACAAATTTAAGGCGCGCTGGGTCGTACGCGGCTTCGACCAAGAACACGGACGCGACTTCACCGAAACATTCGCTCCGGTCAGCCGACACACCTCGCTGCGAATTCTCCTCGCGATCGCCGCCATGAAGAAGAAGAAGCTGCGGCAAATTGACGTCGCCAACGCATTCCTCTACGCACCTGTCGACATAGAGATCTTCGTCGAGTTACCACACGGCTCCAGCACGGACTCCAACCACGTCTGCCAGCTACTCAAGTCGCTCTATGGCAATAAGCAAGCTCCGCGGCTATGGCAACAATACCTACACGCTCGCCTCATTCGCATCGGCTTCAAGCAACTACCGCACGATCAGGGCATGTACCGACTCACGAAAGGCACTGACTACATCCTGCTAATCGTCTACGTAGACGACCTTCTCTACATCGGCTCAACCGACAGTGTCACAACCTGGTTCGAAGGGGAGCTACAGAAGGATCTCACTTTCACAGTCTCATCTACAGTTACACAGTATCTCGGTCTCAACATTGAAGAACAAGAAAACGCGATCTACCTCAGCACCGCAAAGTACGCCGATACCATCGCCAAGCGCTTCGCACTCACGCCAACTGTCATCTCCATGCCATATCACGACACAGCAGGAAACCACAAGGTGTTAGAGACTAAGGACGGAGTCTATGAAGAATAGGGACCGAAATATCACAAAATCGTCGGTCCTAATTTCTGGACAGAAACCGCGACTTCACAAGAAACGTCGTCGACGAAAATTGCACCGTTAGAATTATCTCAAACTCAAATATGTTGTAGCTCTAGACCGTAGCTACATTTCCCAATTTGAATCGTATCAAATGATGGAGTATATCTCGAGTTATTAGTTTCGGTGCACTAGGGGGTATGCTGCCACAGAAACTTAACTCAATCACCATTTACTCACAAGTTTCACAAGTTACACAGAAGTTACACACAAGAGAGTTGGAGTAGAACTAAACCAGGTAGGAGGGGATGAGGAGGACGAGAGGGAAGGTCCCAAGGAGTCCCCAACCAAATAAACCCCATGCCACAATTCCCCTCTCCATAGGCAACCCCACTTTCACATTTGTCTCTTTCAACTCATGCCATCCACCTCAACCCACTTGGCCACACTTGCCAACCTGGTTTGGCTTCTCCCAACCACATGGCAGCATCTACAGTGATGGGTTCGAATTTCCCAACCCCCAAAAGTCTATACCCCATATTGAGCCAACCCCACAACTTCCCATAGTCGCCGCAACCAAAGTACAGAAAGCATACGAACTCCAACGTTCGTAACTTTCTTGATCTTGCTCCGATCGCGACGATTCTTGGTTCGTCGGAAAGCTCTTGAGCAGAGGGATTACTTCAGATTTCTGCTCAAGCCAACTAACATTCACACACACTCAGGAAATCCAAACCGCGCAAAACACAAATTCTTGCACACGCTCACACCACGCATGCAACACACGAACACATGATGGGAGGCAGACAGACGTGAATGCGAATGATAGCATCACACAACACAAGGAAGGATCCGCTCTACTCAAGCCCGCCGGCATACGCGACTACCAGAGGAAGCTGGGATGCCTCCTCTTCGCAGCTGTCACCTGCCGCCCGGACCATCGTACTCTGCAAGTCAGCTCGCCACCCACCTCAAGAAACCTGAAGCAGAACACCTGGCGGAGCTCGACCGCGCTCTTCACTACCTCGTCAGCACTCCGACGATCGGGCTGACCTACCATAAGAACGCAACTACAACGCCAAAGCTGATCAGCTACGTCAACGCCGATCGCGCGAACGACTCCGACAACAGGCACTCACGCACCGGCTACATCTATCGTCTCGAACCCATCGGTCCTATCTCCTGGCAGTCGAGCAAGCAGGAGTTAATCGCCCTCTCCTCAGCCGAAGCAGAATATATCGCACTCTGCTCAGCCACCAAGGAAGGATTGTACCTTCGCGAACTTCTGGAAGAAGCGAAGTTGGTCCAGTTACACAGCTTCACCCAGTTCTGCGATAACTAGTCGGCAATTCGCATAGCCAACAAGAACGGCTTCGCGAACAGGACGAAACACGTAGACTTGCGATACTTCTTCGTGAAGGACGAGATCGAGAAGGGGAGACTCGAGCTGTCATACTGCCCCACGTCCGAGATGGCAGCTGACTACTTGACCAAGAAGCTCGGAAAGCAGAAGTTCGAATACTGCATGCTGCTGACTGGACAAAGCCACGTCACCAGCAGCGACACTCCAGAAGCGAAGGGGAGTGTTGGAAATAATTAATTCTAAGCGCCTCTGTCGTGTCGAAACACCAAGTCAGAAGCGAAGCGAAGCATATCGAAGCACCGGCAAGTCAACCCTCGGAGATTGAGCAGTTGCTAGAGGTTACGCGAAAGTCAAAGGTCAGCAACCTTTGACCTGACAAGTACAGCGCGACAGCAAGGACACACAACTGACTCGTTACAGAGCAGTTGCCCGAGTCGTCACTGTATCGAACCGCAACAGCAACAGTAAATCAGATATTAAGTTATAACCTTTGATATTCCTTGTACTCTTATAAAAGGCTTGTATCTCTTTGTTTTAATCAATCTACTTTGCCCTCACATACTAGCGCAAGGTGGTTCAAATACCTCATATTAAGCTTCCACTACTACAAGTCCTATCAAGAGTTCACCCCTGCAAAGATCCTAAGGGCTTTTCTCAGCCCAACACAGTATACATGATGGCAATTCAAACGAGAATGAAATATAAAGTTAAGGTACTGCATGATTTATAATGTATATTACTATAAGGACCAAGGGTGGCAGAATTGTGCCCCTGCGCTCCAAGGAAAAATGGTTTGATAATATAAAGGGCTCATAAGGGCTTGACTGATTTCCACATATTAGAGACGTAAAGCTTATGTCTTCTTTTTTGGAGTGCATCCCGATTGCAGACTCAACCTCCCCACAACGTTTGAAACATACCCGATGTGCTATGAATGGAAACCACGCGGTGGACACCGAATTGCCCGTTATGTTGGATTTGCTGAATGAGGTCAAGTTTGTGGAGCACCAATAATGTACGTCCATCTGGACACCATTTGATATTTTTCTGCGCGGCTATTTATGCTGTCCACATGATATGGAAATATCCACGTGTCATTTCTGCGTCCACAATCGTCTCGTTCTGTGATCGAGGCGACACACAATCATCCATTCGTGATTGCTCGAGCAGGGAAACCAAGTTCTTCAGCACCACTGTCTGCTCGCACTGGTCGTTTTGTTTTGACCTGTAGTCACGATCTCCACAGAAGATTTGTCCTTTGAAAACTGACTATTCAATGCGCATGCCACGAGAGCCCACAGGCGATGCTTGTTTCAACCGTTGCGCCGCCGCGAATGGTCTCATTCAGTTTTGTTGGTTGGGATGCAACACGCTAATTGGCCCTGATTGCGGGACCTTCCATTCATCCGACTGGTGCGGTGTGTTTGAAGGAAAAATGCTAGCTCGAACAGAGAACAGCGGTGAAATGATTCAAAAACTTAAGTGTCATACATGTTCGTTCCCCCTATTCTGAACCCTACCCTTCAAACCCAAGTATTTCGATGGAACTGGACGCCTTGCCAGCTAACCATCCCGCTAGAACAAACTTGTACTGTAACAACACAAGGGTATGGGGTTTGAGATGCGTATCAAGCACGCTGCTCTAAACACACCTTTTAACGCTCCACATTGTTTAGAGCGATATTTCTCTCTGTAACGGAGATCTTCAACGCGGTAGGTTTCTCTTGATCTCCCTTGGTGTTCTGAAAAAAACAAAACAAAACAAAACAAAACAAACAAAACCGTTAGGACAGTCATTACGTGACTTTTTAAACACATCTCGGGTGGTCATTCATTCGGGTCATAGCTGAAATACTAAATGAAATTGTTTATGTGAATTGAACTAGAAGTTACTCTCGTTTGGCACCTCATGGGTAATTTCCGTTGTTCCTCTCAGTGACACGGAACACCACGCAACCCAGTTGCAACAAGGTCTGGTCCTTTTGCTGTCGTGTTTGGTGCCCACTGCATTCTTGCTGTCGTGTTTCACACAGCTGAACGCGCATTCTTCTTGACCATACTTCTTCGTTGACATTCATTTACTGTAGTATATTTTGGACTTCTGTATTGAAAATTCCTCACATGTTTCGTGTTTCCAAGGAAAAAAATAGCAGCGACTTTCGTGTACAGCGTTATGATTTTGTTCGTTCTACACCTGTGTGACTGAAAACGGCGATAAGCAAGCAGAGGGACAAAAATCTCCACTTTCTATTCAAGCCAGGAACGCAAACCCGCTCTACTACGTGTGCATCAACCAATAACATCGGTAGGACGCAGTGCAGATCAAGGCTTCAGGCTGATCGGTTCGGACGTCTTGATCAGACGCGATCTGCGATCTGCCCAGCATCGCGACATCTGAGAGGACAGTTTTTCAAAAGCCATCATCAGCATCATCAATCCTTCTGCGCTAGTAACACGTCCCTTCCACTTCACACCAAGCAGATTTCGGTACCTCGCGATTACTTCGTAGCGCTCTTCTGTCGCCATCATCGAGCTGAGGCGAACTCTGGTAGGGTTACTTACTGATCGCGTGTGTAGCAGGAGGCCCGATCTGACCCAAATTTCTCGATCGCAAACGAGGGGCCGATGTGGCTTTGATGACATTGTGGATTTCCTATGATCGAAGCACTCAGCTAAGGTCGCCTCGTTCTGTACCAGCTCTTATCCGCTGCCGCGTCTCTTTAGGTCGTGCCGTGTAACCGCTGCAAATGGCGGTATTCTCAAACAGACTGCAACCATAACAGGTGGCGTCAAAGAAGAAAGTTCCCCAACTAGCCCTCGCAAAGGTGTTGTCACTGCCATTCCTTTTGACAGCGCCTCTCGCTCTCCTCCCCCACCACGCCGTGTCGACATTCCCAACCCAACCCAGCGTGTTCCTGTGCCTTCCCATCGACGGGTCAACAGCCCTCCTCTATTCCACACTTCAAATCGTTATTGCGGACCCCGTCACCCCAGTTTCCGTCACCCAATTTCCCGTCACCCAATAACCTCCCGTCACTACACGCTTCTTCGCCATGGCGAGCAGGCAGGCAGTTATGGTGGCGCGTCGACCAGATGTGCTGCGAGATGAGATGCTCTGCCCCATTCCCCCGGTCAACTGGAAGGAGGAGACGGGAACCCGCCGACTCAACGAGCCAAGCTCCGTTGCAAACTCCGTCCATCAAGTCTTGTTGGACTGCGAAGCGTGCCCAATCGCCCCGCAAGACTGGCGATCGCTCTCTCAGGGTGCCGCACCAGAAAGAGTAGCAGCGTCGCTAGTGCGCAGGACCAAAACGACGGCTTCGACGGGAGGCGACAAAACGGGCGAAAATGTGAGGGGCAAAGCAGCCACACGTGACATCACACTTCACCTCGCGGATGCGCAGCTAACAAAAATCGGCGCACCCGCGGCTTCATCCTTTGCCACTCCGACATACTTCGCGGCGTCGCAATCCATCGCGTCCGCGCTCATGTCCCCTCGCCCTGCCGCGGGCACGCCTTCGTCATCCACCACGTCATCCGAGTCTGGCGCGCCTTCAGGCTCTTTGAGTTCTAGCAGCGACAGCAGGAGGAGCAGCCGAAGCAGCAGCAGGAGCTCCGCTTGCGCCGAGGAGGTGCAACTAGAGGTCGCCGTGAAAAGCCCTGATGCAAAAGCGGCGCACCCGACTTCCCTCGCGCCGTCCTTGTTACTCGCGTCGACGATTGCGTCCCCCTGTGGCAAGGGCGTGCGTGCGCTTGCGCGTCACACGAGCGAGTACGGCCCGACACGAAATAGTTCTGAGCATAGCAACGACGACACTCGCGAGAATTGCGCCCAAGCCGAGCTGAAACCTATGGCCACGTCACCAGTCGGCGACTTCTCTTCGCGTGGTTCAAGCTACACTGGCCTCGTGAAGTCCTCGTCCGGGGGTCCATTTCTCACGCCTCTTTTCCCATCGTACGCTTCGTCTGTCGCCTCCGTCGCAGCGCCTGTTGCCGCCACTCCGGCGGTTAGTACCTCCGTCGCGCTCAGCGATCCTTCCGCTTCGCATGCCGTCTTCAAGCCCGCGTCAACGAGAGCCGTGGACCCTCCTGCGGCGATAACCGCACGACGCGTCGCCGCGGGCGGCGTGGCGCAGCAGTTCCCGCTTTATCAGGCCGCGCCGCGGGACGTGTTCGCTGAAACTTTCACTTCCCCGACGGAACAATCGGCGGTGGCAACAAGCAGCTGTGCTGGCGCAGCAGCGGAGGGAACCTCGGGCAGTAGACGCAGGCGGTTCTCCGAGGCTTCGAGTCGTGAGGAAGCAATTCGCGCCGGAATTGAAATGGGCGTGGTCATGGGCGTAGGCGTGGAGATCGGGCAGCGGTACCGCGAGGCTACAGGCAAGGGCGTTGAGGAAGCAGCGGCAGATGTCCCTGCAGTGAGCTGTGCGGATTGGTCAGGTGAGTTTGGTGGTGGTGGTCTGCTTCTGCTTCTAACGTTACACCATTGCCGATTTTAAGGGTCAACGTAAAGACGTATAATTTCGCCCTTGCACATATTTCGCTGGTGATCGTGTTGCCCATTTCCCGTCTCTTTCTGTCCTTTCTCCCGTTCCACCTTCTCGTGCCACCCGTGTGTTCGCCTGGCAGAGCTTAGCCATCTGTGCGGCAAGATGGACGCAGCGGGAATTCGCATCGAGCAGATCGACCTCACCACGCTCGGCGACACCGTTGACGACATCGCCATCCACTGAAATTTCGCTCGCCGTCATCGCCGTCCCGGCCTGGAGTGGGCTTTGCGTTGTTGGTCATCACCACCTCCTTCCTGGAAGATTTTGCTATCAACTGTCGTCGGATCTCACTAAACATTCTGTGGGCTGACATCCACATGATAGCTGCAGGCTTTACACACCTGTTAGCATCAGCGTTGACCATCCCATGCCAATAAACGTTTGTTCTCTGTGTCTGTACCTTCCAAACAATCCTTTTCCTACTGTCTATATTTCATTTCACATGCCGAGCAGTCAGCGCAGCGCAGACTGAGGCTGCTCGCCCATCTCTTTGTGTGTGATATGCTCTGTACTGGACTCTTCATACATGTACGGAAATTTATTAGTACAGCACTTGTTTCAGGCGTCGTTCATTAATCTCATCACTGGAGAAAAGATCATGCTACTGAAGAAATATGTGCAAGCCAAAGAATGAATAGCAAGGTAATGAATGCATGACACTGAATGGAGCTGTCAGTCATGAATCGGCCTCTCAGGGACATCTCGTAGGGCTCCTTCAGGATGTCCTGCGAACTGTGCTCCCTCGTATGCCTGTTCTGCACGCGCCTTTCCGCCCTTCCTTCCCATCTCCACATAGTCCTCGTGGGTCATCTGAGCCTTGCGCGCTTCACCACCTTTCTTTCCGCCCTCCACGATCTTCTCATACGCCTTCTCAGCCTGCTCCTGTGTTTGGCCAAGTTGTGGGCCTGTCTTCAGCTCTTCCCTACGCGACGCCATGACGGTGACACTGCTCTTCGGTACAACCCAAAGACGTTGGGTAGACTGGACGCTCTCGTGTGTAATGAGGGCAGACAAGCAGAAGAACCGCCGAGATTCAAGTTGTGTGATTCTGGTCTATAAAAGCAGGCGAGAAACACACAAAAAAATCTCAATGGAACAAGAGAACAAATTGATTGCTTTGCGACGCGACGGACAGAATGCGACGCGACACGTGACGGCATGGATTCACACGTGTCTCGATTACAAACCGCCTGCATGAAGGTTGGGTGAGAGACCCTGTGCGAGGTATGTAACATACACATTACGTAGACACACAAAAAAAATCACGGTGAATTTAACAAATATCTCTAAAGTGAAGGTGAACATGCACCCTGTTTAGTAGGATGAACTTCTGAGCAACACAGATGGCTCAGCGAAGCGATGAGCATTACTTCCATTGGACTGTTCCATGCGTGGTAAGCCTCCACGAGGACTATGTGGAGTTTCCCATTTCTCGATGCGAGGTTGAGTAGGTACGCTTCCTCCATGAAAACATATTCAATGAAGGGCAGGTTGCACCCAACCAAACTAATCTATGTAGGTCAGAATGTGCAGGGGCATGACGAGATCCTGAATGGCAGCCATCGATGGAGAGTGAACTGCAAGCTCAAACGACGTCTACAGGACATAAAGGAAACGGAATGGATGTCGTAAAGCAAGGAAGAGGGGGGGGGGGAGTGGGTAGGAAGTGGGGCAAGAGGATGGAGAAGGGAAGAGGAGAGTGGGAATACAAGATAGAACATGGTTTGGGGAGGTCCTACGTATCAGGGTAGATAAACCTAAATCCTTGATTTGGGAGTGGAGGGGGTCGGAAGGGAAGAGTGAAGGGAGGGGGGTTTGCAAGATAGGCATACGAGGCCATATGGGTATTGGGGAATAATGTGGTAATTGGGTGAAAGACGAAAATGACGTTGCGTCAGGAAGAACTTGATATTGCAATATTGCAAGCACGTTCGGTGCTCCTGTGCTAAACCTTAAACTGAAGAGCAAGACAAACGCTAGTTGGGCGCATTGCGACTTTTGGTGAGGGGTCGACGTGCATAGGCTAAATAGTACGGAATATATCCAAAAGAACATTGAACATGATTGATGGGATTGAAGAGCATGAATAGAAGTGTGACTGCTGCTACATTGCCTTTCCGGTTAGCCCTGGACCGAAAAGCTCACCTGCTGAAACACCTGGCTGTGCCCTGTCTCTATAAAGCCCTGGTAGAATGGGTGGCAGAGAGGGGGAAAAGGTGTGTGTGTGTGTGTGTGTGTGTGTGAGAGAGAGAGAGAGAGCGAGAGAGAGAGAGAGAGAGAGAGTGTGAGTGTGTGTGAGTGTGAGTGTGGGTGTGTGTGTGTGAGTGAGTGTGAGTGTGAGTATGTGTGTGTGAGAGAGAGAGTGTGTGTGTGTGAGTGAGTGTGGGTGTGTGTGTCTGTGTCTGTGTGTGTGTGTGAGTGTGTGTGTGTGTGTGTGTGTGTGTGTGCGTGTGTGTGTGAGTCTGTGCTGAGGGGAGAAAAGGGCTGGTGATATTGGGGTGAGAGAGACTGCGGGATGGAGTGGAGCCAGTGGAAGAGGGTTGATACAAAGCTGGTTGCCGGAAAGCAGCATCGAGAAAGCAGTACAAAGCAGAAGCCGCATGAGCTCCTCAACTCATGGCAACTCTTATGCTGGACGAATACGGCTGCCATGCTGCACGCCTCACTCTGTGCTGAACCATCCATGCAAGCTTGGCTCACACCTGCTACACACCCCCTGCCCACCTTTTGCCCACCGCCTTGGCATCACAGCGTGCTGCCAGGGCGTTGACTTGGCCGCTGTGGCACACCAACAAAAAACACTCAAGACAGCGTGGTAGCGAGGGGAATAACAAATTGGCCTCAGAGGACAGTAAGGCACATGGAGGAGGCAGCGAGTGGGACGCACGAGGGAGCGGAAGAGGGCGAGCGAGGGCGTGTTGGAGTCGTTGATCTTGGCGCGGAACGTGGTGAGGTGCAGGTGCCCCGCCGCGTACGCCAGCATCAACTGCAGTGCCTCCCTCCCCATGCCCCGCCCCCGACTGGCCTTGCCACACAGAGGGAGGGCAGGGGGAGGGGGACGGGGACGTGGACAGGGACGGGGAGAGGGACGCGGACGGGGAGGGGGAGGGGGAGGGGGAGCGGAAGGCGGGGGAAAGGTGATGTGAAAGGGCGGGGAAAGGAAGTGATAGTGGAGAGATAGTGGGACACGGTCCATCCCTAGCCTAGCCTGCCAACCAGTTACTCACGCCCACCCTCTCATCCTCTCACTCTCCCTTAAACCCCGTCCGTCTCTTTATCCTTGTCCTTGTCTTCTTGTCCCCTGTGTGGCTGTGTGTGACTCACCACGCGGGCTCGGCAATCATGACCTCCACCTCGGCAGCCGTGGGGTGGTCCGGGTCGTTAAGGAAGAGATTCACATCGCCACACATGCCTGCCACGGCCGCCGCCACGGGCAATGCACAGCGCACGCAGGGCATTGACAGGGAAAGAGAAGAGGGCTGCAGAAAGTCAGTTACAGGAGGAGTGGAGGAGAGGGGGCTCAAAGAAAGAGGAGGAGGGGTTGCGGGCGAAGGAGAACTCTGGTAGAATGGTGCGATGTGATGTGAAGTGCGCAGAGAGATACAAGGCAAGGATGTGTGTGCAATGGTGCGCGGGAGGAGGGGATGGAAGAAGCAGGCCTGATGAGATGTGGGGAGGCTGTGGCACACCGTCAATGTGCGAGGGCGAGTGGTGAATGCAGCCTGCTGCCTCGCCCTCTGCTGTTGCTCCTTGCTGCGTTGCTGCTGCTTCTGGCACTGCTGCTTCTGTCTCAGGTGGTGCACATGACGGTTGGCTCGTGGTAGCTCCAGCACACCCCCCGGGAGTGTTGGCAAGGCCAGGTATGCGCGCACGGTCTAGCACTATGAACGTGCACTCTGTTGCTCACACACGTGCACACACATGCACACACATGCACACATGCACACATGCACACATGCACACATGCACACACGCACACACGCACACACGCACGCACGCACGCACGCACGCACGCACGCACGCACGCACGCATGCACGCACGCACGCACGCACGCACGCACGCACACACGCACGCACATGCATGCACACATGCGCACATGGAAAACAAACTTGCATGCAAATGCAGGCGCACACACAGAGACGCACCCTCAAGCATATCGAGTGCACACGAGGGGCACAGGCAACCGGGCAACGATCAGCAACGGACATGCAGAGCAGCACGGCGTGTGCACGCCACTCAATCCCCTCCCCCTGTGCGCCCATGCCCTGTACCACCCCAACCCCCCTCCCCCCCCAGTCCCCTCCTCACTGTCGCTGTCATCGTGCCAGCGCTGCTGCATGCTGTACTCCTCCTCCAGGCTCAGTGGCTCCGACCCTGTTGCCTCCTGCAGCCATGGGTCCTGCCGCACCAGCGCGGGCGTTGTATGTGTAGGGCAGCGGGGGAGTTGGGGGGTTGAGAAGGGTGAAGGCGGGCGAGGGGGCGATGGGCGAGGAACGAGCGGAGGGAGAGAGAGAGAAGCGTTTGTTGGCGGGAGGAGGAAATTGGAGACGCAAGGGGCATGCGAGGCCCATGAGGGGGAGAAGGAGACGGGGGACAGAGGGGAGAGGGGGGGGGGAGAGGGGACGAGAGGGGATGAGAGGAGCGTGGAAGAGAAGTGCGATACGTGGGTCTGATGTGTATGTGACTCTCTGCCGCACGTGAGCATGCTCACTCACCTGCATCCACGAATGGTACTTGGCCACGTGGCATGCGCGGTACGGCACCAGCACCACCTGACGTGCGGAATCATGTGCAGTGAGAAAAGGGGCATGGAGGGGGACAGTGGGAACGGGAGAAGGGATGAGAAGAGGGGTTTGTGGGATTGGGTGGGAAGGAAAGGGGGGGGGGGGGGGGGGAATGTAGAAGGTGTGGAAGGCGGGGGTTTGGGCGGAAGGGTGAGCACGCAGAGCAGCAGCAGCAGCAGCAGCAGCAGCAGCAGCAGCAGCAGCAGCAGCAGCAGCAGCAGCAGCAGCAGCAGCAGCAGCAGCAGCAGCAGCAGCAGCAGCAGCAGCAGCAGCAGCAGCAGCAGCAGCAGCAGCAGCAGCAGCAGCAGCAGCAGCAGCAGCAGCAGCAGCAGCAGCAGCAGCAGCAGCAGCAGCAGCAGCAGCAGCAGCAGCAGCAGCAGCAGCAGCAGCAGCAGCAGCAGCAGCAGCAGCAGCAGCAGCAGCAGCAGCAGCAGCAGCAGCAGCAGCAGCAGCAGCAGCAGCAGCAGCAGCAGCAGCAGCTCCTTCCGCCGTCTGAACCCCCGCTTCCGCGCATTACCTTTCTGCCAACCACGCACGTGCTCTCGTTCGCCCGCATGGCCTTGCGCGCAACCCCTTCTGCGCTCAAGCGAATGCGGCACTAGCGGAAGGCGGTAATGTGGGGCTTCTGACTGCGCGCTTGTGAACAGCGAGTGGGGAAACAGAAACGCGGCTACTGCAGACTGCACCCAAAGCAGAGGACTTTCGGAACAGGGACTAAAGGCGCAGCAGGGAATCTATTTCGCGGTTTGCGAGTAGGGGATTCAGGTTCAGTGCGGAAAATCTCAGCGGTAACGGGTCGTCAAGCCTGACGACCCTCTGACGACTTGACGACATGCTGCCCCGGGCAGAAAAAAACTAAAACCCCATCGGATGGCATGCCATCCGAGGGAGCCTCAACCCTAAACACCATGCCTCCCCGCGTTTAGGGTTGAGGCTCCCTGACCGGATGCATGCCCGTCTGGGGTTTATTTTTTTTGCCCGCGGGCAGCGAGCTCCCCTGGGCGGGCTCGCTTGTCCGCTGAGATATATTCGGCGAACTGGGCCAGGCCCTTCGGTATATGATTAGTTTCCACGGTGAAAAACGGTGGAAACTACAAATATATTTGCACCGTCTGATATCGTTTCAAACCACGACGGGTGAACTGTAAGCGGACTGTAAATATACCCGCTGGACTCGCCCTAAGGACGCGGCACCTCTAGCACCGACCCTGCGATCGATCCTGCGCAGGATCGAATTTTTGAGGATTTCAAAATGGTGTTGGAAGATGTAAATGTTTTTGGCAGGATCTCAGTGCGGTGGTATCAGCGACCCTGGGATCGATCGTGCAAAAATTTTAGAGGTGCCGCGTCCTAATTCAGTGGTCAATTCGATATTATGAGCTATCATAAGCTAGTATCATGATTGTATCGGAATCCGCAATTCTTGTTTGATCCTTATTTGATAATGAGACCATATATGAGAAACATTTACATAAACGGCTCTGCAACTTTGAAACACTCTTCTCGAGTATGGTAGGCATGTTGGAGAAAAAAAGTGATGGAGCTGGTGCCTGCCAACGATCAGAACCAGGGCATCCACCATATGTACATGCGCGCGAGGTTCTCAATGGAGGTGGCCTGCTGAATGAGGCAGTCCGCCTGCCCCTCCACTGACAGTGGCAGTGATGGCGCTGCTGCCACACCCACCACCACGCCCTGCAGCCGCGAGTCGATGTTCGACAGTGCTTTCTGGGGCAACGAAGGGAAGAAAAGATGGGAAACACTGGTGCTGCTGACACATAATACAGGTCGCAGCCAGGGGAGGGGAGGGCAGATGACTAAGGCACGGGCTCACACAGAGCACATCCCATGACGATACCCTGCGCACGTCACATCTGGTCTGGGTTTGGCTCTCACACACACACGCACGCACGCACGCACACACACACGCACGCACGCACGCACGCACGCACACACGCACGCACGCACGCACGCACGCACGCACGCACGCACGCACGCACGCATGCACGCACGCACGCACGCACGCACGCACGCACGCACGCGCACGCACACTCACACGCACGCACACGCACGCACACGCACCTGTGCATAGGGGTTCTGAATCTCCCCTGTGCCCATAGCCACGCCCCCTCCCCCAGCAGCAGCAGCAGCCGCGGCGGCAGCCGCAGCGGCAGCAGCAGCGGAGGAGGAGGAGGAGGAGCGGTGGGGCTTGGTCCACTCGACGAGGGGGTCGTGCAGGAAGGTCTGCAGCACGGACATGAGCGCGGAGCGGTGGCAGCGCAGCAGCGCCAGCGTGATCTCCGCCGTGCGCCGGAACATGCCCTCGCACCCACTGATGCCAAACCCGTCCACCATGTTCTGGTGACCCATGATGGGTCACGGGGGGACACGGGGCAGGGGTGACGGGTGGGCAGGGTGGAGAGGTGAGAGGTGGCCTGGGGCAGGAGTTGTGTGTGAGTGTGTGGTGGCAGCGTGTGAGAGGGTGGTTGCATGCGCTCATGGCCAGCTCACCTCCTTTGACTTAAGGGCAGGTGTGATTGGGCCACGGACAGAGGAAAGAAGCAGCATGTTGCAAATCAAGAGATATGAGATGACACGGTTGGTTGTGGTGTGGGGTGAGGAGGGAAGGTGGGGTGGATGGGTTGTGAAGGGCTCTTGAAATGACAGGACTGAACATAGAGAGCAAATACGGAGAGAGGATGCTGGGCTCATGCGTGTGATGTGTCCATCTACATGGAGTGGCGAGCCACGTGCTGCGAGAATGGAGGAGAAAGCGAGCATGGGTCACTGGGGCAGCACGCCAATTCCACTCAACGCCAATTCCAGTCACACGGGACTGAAGTTCACTTGTGCCACTGCAACCAAACATTGCAGCAAGTGCCCGTCCAAACAAGCATCCCTCTCCATCCCACATCACCCAGCTCCCTCCCGCCATCCCAGCACCCCCGCGCCTCCCCCTCCCAGCAGCGCCACACGCACCTGGGTGAGGCGGAAGGGCACGAGCTCAGGCTGCTGCAGCGACAGCCCCTTGTCGAAGAGACAACTGAAGTCCACGTGCACGCACTCGCCACTCGCCGCGTCGACGAGCAGGTTCTCCCCGTGGCGGTCGCCCAGCCCCACCACGTGCCCCACCATGGACCACACCGCACAGCTGCGCGTGAACGCCGCGCGCGCCGCCAGCCACGCGGAGGGGTCGGGGAAGGCGCGGGGGAACCAGCGGTGGAAGAGCGGGGGGAAGAGGGGGAGCACGTGGCAGCGCAGCAGGTCGGGCTCGCTCTGCCCCGTGGACGCGCGCTGGTCGTACAGCCGCTTCACCTGCCCCAGCGACTTCTGCCGGTCAAACAGCCCGTGCGCCGCGTACAGGTCCTGGTGGGGGCGGGGGTTGTGGCGGCAGGGGGGGGGTAGGGGGGGTGGGAATGAGGGGCAGCGGGAAAGATGAAGGGCGGTGGAAAAGATTTGGCGTTTGAGTGGACTGAAAAGGTGTGCTGGCACTGGGCATGCAGAACAGAGTGCCCTGCAAGCCAACTCCACCTGCATGCCCACCAGCACACGCCCACCAGCACGCCCTGCGTGCATGCGCACCTGCATGACGTGGCGGAAGCCGCGGGTGTGCGGCACCCACTCCACCATGCCGCAGTCCTCCGTGAGCGGCAGCACGGCGAACGTGCGCAGGCGCAGCGCACGGCGGCGGCCCTCGGGGGCGCGGAGCAGCAGGCGGTTGAGCAGCGCGGCCACGTCCATCATGCGCGCGTCCTTGCGCAGATCGTCCTTGGGCTTGCACAGGAACGGGTACCGCCTCCCGTCACTGCCCAGCAGCACCACCTGCGTGGGGGGGGGTTCACGAGAGTAGGGTGGGGCGGGGCAGGAGTGAGGGGGGAGAGAGCGAAGTGGGAGTGAGCTGGGCGAGTGAAGGAGAGAGGGAGATATTTGGGGAAGACAAAGGTGGATTAGTGAGTGACGGCACGAGTGAAGGACAGCGAGGCGTGTGAGTGAGGAAAGGTGAACGAAGCCTGGTGTTCTCAAAATCCTTTCATTCCTGACCTTCTTGGGGCGCTGCAGCGACTGCAGCACCTCCACCTCATCCGCTATCCCACAGATGCTCACGCACTCGCCCTCCCCACCGCCACTGCTGCCAGCACTGCTGGTGGCAGCGGCATAGGGTGCAGCAAGGACGGCTTGCGTGGGCAGCGCGACGGCCAGGGGCATGGAGCGCTTGAGCGCACTGAAGTCGGAGGAGATGCTCAGCGCCCTCATGCGCGCCGCTGATGACCCCGTGCTGCCGTGGAAACACAGCCGTATCATGGCGTCCGCGAATGACGTGAACTGCGGGGTGGGGGGAGGGGCGGGGGACGGGGGGGGGGAGGGGAGGAGAGATAGCGAGGGAGGGAACGGAAGGGTGAATGTGTAGTGCACTTTGGAGATGAGAGCGGCAAGTGGGGCTGGCTCTGACCGCAGGGCGGGCCGTGTAGACCTTGTACACGGCCACGTGTGGAAGTGTCACAGAAGCAGCAGTGGAAGCTGGTCTTTGTTTTTGTTTATTGAAGGCTTCCCCGGCTTGCACCAGCGGAGCTTTGAAATAGTTGGATTTTCAGTTCACCAGCAAGTAAGGAACTGAAATTGCAGAGAGCTCACTTACTTCTGAGATGAGAGCAAGGAGGCTTGTGCCAGCAGCACCACCCTCCTCCCTCGCCGCTGCCTTAGCCCCCGACACGACCTCGTTGGCGGCATCTCGGCGCGCGGGCACAGCGGACTTGCACACAGCGATGAGCGTCCAGAGCGTGGGGTGCGGGTGCGCTGTCAGCAGCCGCACCAGCAGTGCCTTGAGCAGCGCACACACCGTGGCGTTGGGGTGGCAGATGCGCGAGGTGAGCTGCGGCAGCGCGGCCAGCCAGTGCGCCGAGGGCAGCGATGCAATGCAGTCCGCCATGAGCTTGTGCACGCGTGCACTCTCCGCCTTGAGCGCCGCATTGCCGCGCATAGTGCTCTCCTGGAAGCGCCCCCCGAAGTCGAACCAGAGGGTGAGGAGGCGCGGCAGGGCCTGGGAGAGGAAGAGCGTGCCGCGGTGCAGTGCGTTGGAGTAGCACAGCAGCGCCTCGTGCACGTGCTGCCACCACGCACTCTCCTCCATGCCCAGCCGCACCGCCGCTCCCCTGCTACCCCCCACCCCGCACGTGCCTGCACTGCTCACGCCCCTCCCACCACCCGCCCCGTTCCCTGCACGCCCCTTACCTCCCCCTCCCCCCACTCCTGCCGCCGCCGCTGCAGCCGCTGCAGCGCCAGCGTCGTCCTCCTGGCGGCGCTGGGCGTCAACGAGCAGGTCGTCAAAGTAGCGCGCGAGGAAGAAGAAGGGCTTCTCCCACTGCGGCTGCAGCTGCGCTGCATGCTCGTACAGGTGCACCACGTCTGCTGTCTGCTTCTGCCGCGTCTCATGCGACCACCGTGCCAGCAGCAACAGAGCCCGTGCCACCTGCCACGAATCCCTCGCTCCTTGTGCCCCTCCGCCGCCTCCTCCCCGCCCTGCTGCTCCAGGAGCATCCTGCCCTGCGTTTTCATCCCCCGTACAAGCTGCCTCGGCAATGGTTAAGAACTTCTGGAGCTCCTGTGTGGCCTGGTACTCTCTGCCTGACGACCACAGCACCTTGGCTGCCTCCACTTCCGACCCTGCTGTTCCCAGCGCCCGAGCCTGCAGCACAGCTCTGGTGGCAGCCTGGCAGTGCCCAGCCTTGCGACAGGTTCGGGCGAGCTCGAGCCAGTTCCGCCCAACCTCGTCCTCAAGTCCGGCAGCTTGGCACAGCATGCGCCGAACCGCAAGCACCAGCTCCCGAACCTTGAAACTTGGTTGGGTGGCATGAAGTCGGCTCGGCCAGGCCTGAAGCCTCACTTGTACCTGTGCTTTAAACTCTTGTATACTGTTCTCCACTCCTCTTCCTGCTGCTACTGCTGACGCGTCTGCTATTTGTCCCAGTGCTCCAGGCCTCCCCCCACCCCCCTGCAACCTCCCCAGCCTGGCCCCGCCACTCCCCAGCAACGCACCACCGACCCCTTGACCGCCCCCACCAGCTGCACCCGCAGAGCAGCTGCTTATAACGGCTATGCATGCTTCAATCTCGTGCAAGGCGTGCAGGTTGACGAGCACAGGGTAGGCGCGGTCGTACGACTCCATAGCCGCAGCAGCCAGGGGCGGCAGCAGGCATGCACGCGTGCGCACCACCTCCTCTTGACACCGCGCCCACGCTGCTGACCGCATCGCTAGACCCACGCGCGCCAGCCCCAACTGAAACTCCTCCTGCCACCCCGCTCCCCCCACCCTCGTCACACCCAGCCCGTCCCACGCCGCCTGCTGCTCATGCTGTGGCACAGGGTGAGCGTCTTGCTGTGCGGCGTCTACATACTCATGCAGCAGGTCCCATGCGCCCAGGCGCCACGCTGCCTGCACGCCCGTGGCGGCCCATGTGGGGGCGGTGAGGGGGAAGCGCAGCAGCAGCCCGTCCACGTGGGTGAGCGTGGCGTGCAGGTGACCCATGCTCAGCAGACACCCCAGCAGCCCCACGTGCAGTGACACTCGCATGCTCGCCTGCTGCTGCTGCTGCTCCGCTGCTTTCTCATCGCACGAATGTTCCCTCGACCTTCCCTCAGACAGTTTCCCCTCTTCCTCCTCTACCTGCTGCTGTTGTGCCATCTCCACGCGTCTCTGCATCCCCTGCAAGCCCCTGTCACCTGTCCGTCCACCCTCTGCACGCACACCCCGCTCCCCACCCCCACGCACGCCACCCCCCCCTGCAGCAGCGCCCCCCAGAGCGTCCTCATAGAGCGTGAGGGCGTCCGCCCAGCGCCCCTCCTGCTCGCACATCACCATCTCGTCCCTCGCCCTCACTCCACTCGCCTCCCCTGCCCCTGCTGCCCCGCGCAGGCTCACCAATCCGCGCATGCCATCTGGCTCCTCCAGAGACCGGTAGATCTCCAGCAGCAGCGACACATCAGCATCGCGAAACACCCCTCCCTGCCGCTGCTCCTCCCTCCTCCCACCACCACCTCCTCCGTTTCCTCTACCTGATTCCCTTGCATCTGCTCCATCCCCAGTAATTGCACCACCATTGTCCACTTGACCCGTACCTGCATCCGAACCAGCCAGGCCCGGCAGCGTAGGCTTGGCGCCGCCCCCAGCAGCGGCAGGGTTGAGGGTGCCGGAGCGCTCCCTAACACTAGCCTCGTGGTACATGTAGGCACGGGAGTATGCCTGGCAGCGCAGGGCTGCATGTGCCAATACCTCCTTGCTCACCTGCCTCTCCACCACCCACCGCACCCGCCCACACACCTCCTCCGCATGCCGTACCTGCGCTGCTGAGCAGACAAACTTTGCCGCACGCGCCGGCGTTGCTGCTGCTGCTGCTGCTGCTGCAGGTGGTGGGGAGGGAGGGAGGAGAGCGAGGAAGGCGAGGAGGGGGGAGGCGAGGACGTCAGAGGGAGGGGGTCTGCCAGAGACGACTGCCATGTTCACCTGCTCCACCACACTGCTCGCCTGCTCCAACCACGACTGCACCCAGTCCAACAGCGAAAACACCGCCTGCAGCACCATCGCATCGCCCTTTGATGCTGCACTGCCATTGGGTCCCGAAGCAGATGTGACACGGTTACCAGCAACAGCAGATCCAGCAGCAGGGCCTGCCCCCTGACCTTTTCCACCTCCAGGCGTCAAGGCCCAGGTAACCACAGCCAGGATTTCATCCCGAACCTCCTCCCTAGCTTCGTCAGTGCCGAAGCAGAGCACATTAAGCGTGAGGTGCGGGAGGAGAAAGAGCGCAGTGGGTGCGTCAAACTGCAGGATGCCAGTGCAGGCAGCAAAGATACCGGCTCTGAAGCCCACTGCCTGCTCCACCATGCGCCGCATCCACCTGTACAGCCACCGCCGGAACAACGCCCCTGGCCGAAACACCGCCCTTGAGAAATCCCCACCAGCGCCCCCACCTGAAGCTGCGTGGCCTCCCTGCTGCTGCAAGTCTTGTTTGGTGGCAGAGGGCCGCGTTGGCAGGCGCTGCAGGCTGAAGTGGGACGTGAGGCACGGCAATATGACCTCCCTCACCTCACCCTGCAGCCGCTCCCACAGCCTCACCCCCCTCTCGCTCCACCGCCCCTTCCCCTTCCCCCCTCCCTCCTGCCTCTCTGCCGCTGCCTCCCCCGTGCCAGCCTCCCCTGGCCGCTCGCCCTCACCCCCCTCCTCCTGCTCCTCCTCCTCGCGGGAGCGCCGGCATCCGAAGACGCGCAGCATCTCCTGGATGGCGCACGCAGCGGCGTCCTGCACGTCGGAGTCGGTGGCGGCACGCACCACTCGTGCCAGGTGCAGCGAGATCAGATCCGCTGCCAGCTCCTCGTCATCGCACGCAACCCCCAAAGCACATGCAGACCCGCACCCCTGTTGTTGCTGCTGCTGTGGCTGTGGCCGCTGTCGCGCTGTGCTTTCCTGCAGCATGGCGGCCTTGACGCCCCCACATGTGGAGAGCCTAGCGGGGTCCACAGCGCCTAGCTCGCCCAGGCAGTCAGCACACGCGAGTTTCAGCAGGTGACTCGTCACGGTTTTCGACTCCTCCGCACTGCCCGCCAGCAGCGCTGCCACTGCCGCACACACAGCCTCCCTGTCCGCGTCTCGCTCGCTCACCAGCATGGCACTCACCGCCCCGCCATGCTCCTGCAGCAGCCGCTTCATGCCCTCTGCCGCCACGAGCCGCACGCTGATGGACTCGTGGCCCAGCCCCGCCACTGTCAGCAGCACCTTCTCCCGCACCCCCAGGCGCCCCCTCGCCTCCTGAATCACGCTGTTCACACGTCGCAGGGCGTCCAGGTCGGGCAGCAGCGGCAGGGCGCGCAGGTGAGAGCCCAGGATGGCGCCGTGGTCAATGACTAGCGCGCTGAACACCGCAGCAGCTTTCTGCAAGTGCGGCCGCAGCATCTCCTCGCCCTGCGCTGCCCTCACCGCCCGCTGTGTCATCGCCAGCTCCTTCACCTCCTTCTCCGACAACACCCCCCCAGTTATTGCACCACTCTTCCCCTCACTGCTCCTGCCCGCCCCCTTGCCCCTAGAACCCCCATCCCGGCTCTTCCCCTTCCCCTGCTCCACATCCCCCCCCTCATCCCCCTCCTCCACCGCCCTGCCACCTGCACCAGCCCACTCGTCCCCCGAGCCTGCTTCAGGGCCTTCCAGGCACGGCAGCAGCGCGACAGCAATCTGAGAGCACATGCTCCTGAGCACGCCCGGTGCATACTCCGCCAGCGTGTGCACGAACCCTAACCACACGTCCAGCCCTGTGCTGCGCACGCTCTCCGCCTGCCCCTGCTCCACGCCCACGGACAGCAGCGCAAACATCTTGGGCGCAAACGCCGGCAGGCGCTTGGGCCCTGCGAGCTTGGCTAGCTGGCCGATCACCCTCAGGGCCTGCTCTTGCCGGGGGGGGTTGGAGCGCAGGCGCAGTGAGGAGCGGTGCAGGGCGTTGAGGATGCGCATGAGGTGCGCGCACAGGAAGTCCGCTGCCCTGTCCTCCGTGGCCTCGCTTCCCGTTGTCAGCGCCACCAGCTCCCTTATCGTTGGGAACACTCGACTCGCCCTGCCATGTGCACGCAGCATCAGGAGCATAAGGGGGGGAGAGAACTTCTGGTGCACGTCAGGCATGCTGTGTGACGGGAAACAAGGAAGGAGCAAGCAGAGCAGTAGTGCGTGCGGTGCAGGACGGCAGTGGCATGTGGCGGAATGCGGATGGGCCGATTTGGCTGCCAAGGCAACTCTGCCATAGTTGGCAAAGAAGCGACTGGAACCCAGCGACAGCTCCTTGCATGTGAGAGCATGGAAGGGAGCACGGTAGGGCAGGGCAGGGCAGGGCAGGGCAGGGCAGGGCAGGGCAGGGCAGGGCAGGGCAGGGCAGGGCAGGGCAGGGCAGGGCAGGGCAGGGCAGGGCAGGGCAGGGCAGGGCAGGGCAGGGCAGGGCAGGGCAGGGCAGGGCAGGGCAGGGCAGGGCAGGGCGCGCACCGTTTGAGAGCGAGGTCGCTGCTATGGTCGCCGAGGAACCAGCACATCTCCTCGAGCAGCGGGCCTGTGATGCCCGCAAACACGTCCTGCGGTGACAGCCCCGTGTGCGCCTCATAGAAGTGCAGCAGCAGCAGCAGCGATTGGCTGTCCGTGCACAGCAGCAGGCGCGCTAAGATCTTATGCGCCCACATCATCAGCAGCAGCGCCAGCTCCGTGCCCTCTGCCCGTGCGATCGCCTGCAGCACTGCCAGCGCCTGCCAAGGGACGAGCAGCAGAGAGAGACACGCAGCGGCGAAGAAGCGGAAAAGAAGGAGTCATGGCAATGAATGGTGCCGTGCCGGCATGATGTCGATCCCCAGCTAGGCAGTGCAACCCCACCACCCCTCCCCCATCCGATGCACATTCACACTCGAATTCCTTCCTCTCCACGGCCCTTACCTTAGCTTCGGTGGCATCGCCATCCGTCTGTTGCGGTGAGCCGCCCCCTGCCTCCTCCACTGCCGCCTCCAGCACCTTGCTGGGCAGCACCACGGGCAGCATCCTCGTTACAAGCTGCTCCACGTCCCACCCCAGCACGTCACGTGCAAAGGCGTGCACGAGGGCAGGGCGGGTGACGAGGCGGGCAGCGAGGTAGTCAAAGAAGTCCTCCTGAATGCGCTGCACCACCGCCCACACACTCCCCTCACTGCCCTCGCTCACTGCACTGCCACCACCTGCGCTACCTGCGCCCGCTGCCCCCTCTGCTGCGCCTGCCGTGCACGGCAAGGGCGATGGGACGCTGGCAGCACCGGCGGTTGGTGCGGGGGTGCGGTGGTGGGGGTGCGTGAGGCGGTGGCAGGAGGAGCGGAGCGTTGCGACGGCTGCTGCATGCAGGGAGAGGTGTGCTGCATCCAGCTGCTCCACCTGCCCGGGGAGAGGTGAGAAAGACGGGGCGATTAGGGGGCACGAGGGGGCGAGTGGGGAAGAGAGCAGTGGGGAAGAGAGCAGTGGGGAAGAGAGCAGTGGGTGGGAGAGCACGGCGAGTGGGAGAGCACGGCGAGTGGGAGAGCACGGCGAGTGGGAGAAAGGTGATTTGTTCGAGGAGATGGATGCGGTGAATGTGGGTACATGTGAGTGCGGGAACAACAGTATAAATTCATAATTCAACAACAAGGCAGCATGATTGGTCAGCATGGATGGCAAAAACATGTATGAGAAAAGGGAAGCTCAAGAGAAGAGAGCAGCATGTGCGGGGGACAAGTGGTTGACGCGGAGTGGTGGTGTGCAGAGGACGGTGACGTCCAGCATGGTTAGGTGGGAGTGGAGGATAACGAGCGAGTGAGGGAGTGAGGGCGTGAGGGAGTGAGGGAGTGAGGGAGTGAGGGAGCGAGGGAGTGAGCGAGTGAGGGAGTGAGGGAGTGAGGGAGTGAGGGAGTGAGGGCGTGAGGGAGTGAGGGAGTGAGGGCGTGGAGGAATGAAGGGTGATACGAGGAGGATGAAGGAGAAGAAGAGCAGCTGCTGGTCGGCTGCAGCACAGGCGACAATCTCCCCCACAGCGCCCATGACGGCCTCCTTGCGCCGCACATCGTCGTCGCCACTCTGCAGTCGCCCCTTGAACTTCTTCAGCAGCCTCAACGCTGCATCCTGCCGCTCCTCCTCGCTCCAACCCCCCTCTACCCGCTCCGCCCCTCCTCCCTCCCCTCCCCCTTTGTTCCCTGCCGCCCCACTGACATTTCCAGCCAATGGCATGACGACAGCTGGCAGGAAGAAGCAGCGAATGGCGGGGCGGAAGGCCCAGCGCACGGAGCAGTGGGGGTGGGAGGAGAGGGCGTTGAGGGACGCGAGGAGGGTGGGCTTGAGGGCGAGCAGGTGGGCAGTGGAGGCGTGCAGCAGCAGCGAGGGCAGCGAGACGGCGAACGCGGCTTTCACAGAGGAGGGGCTGTCGTTTCGCGCGAAGCACGGGATGATGGCGGCGAGGTCGCGCGGCGGGATTGACAGGCCGCTGTGGGCAGCGGCGCAGGGGGCCGTGCTTGCCTCATGCGCCTCCTGCTGTGCTGTTGCGTTCATGGAGTTGTGGTGTGGCGGGCTGCATGGCAGAGGGCTGCCCGAATTGGTGGGGGTTATGCTTGTGTGGGGGTCGCGGAAGTGAGAGCAGACAGGGCACAAGGGGAGTGATGTCTGGGGGGAGGTAGGGGTGCGAGGGTGGGGCAGTGGCGGCAGGGGGGAGAGAGAGAGGGCGCAAAGGAGAGGTCCCAGGGCGCGCGCACATGCGACCTGCACCTCCTCGCTGCTGTCTGCTGCTAACTTCCTGCAGGCAGAGGGGTCACGGGTCACACACAGACAGAGGCACATGCACATGCACATGCACAGGAAACACATTAGCTGTGAAATGTTGCGGCATGGTTGCTTGTTGGGAAGGAACCAAGGAGCAGAATGCACGAGGCGGAGAGGGCGTGCAGAAGGTCTCACCTAAGCAGAGGCACCACCCACTCCTGCCCCAACCCCCCACATGCACTCGCAGCGCCGCCCTCCCCCTTTCCCCCACCGTGCCTCCCTGCTTCTCCAGCAGTGGCGTGCGTGGTGGGCGAGGCACGGTGTGAGAGCCCCTTGACCGCCCACAGCAGCAAGGGCAGCTGCTCCACCGCGGCACTGCGCACGCCCGCATGCTCATCCTGCATGCCGCCCTGCAGCACCTTGCTCACAGTGCTCACCACGTCTGTAGCCCATGCCCCTACCACCACATCCTCTCCTAACCGCCCTTGCTTCACTGCACTGCGCCCGGACTGCTCTCCCTCGTCCCCTTTCTCGCTCTTCTCCTCTCCCTCTGCTCCACGTGTCAGCATCACCTGGCCCTGAAGGTGTTCCACCAGCCATGCCAGCACTGCGCCGGATACTCTAAGCGCATTCCGCTTGCTACGCTCCAGCGACCCCACAGGTTCCTGCCCGCCTTGCACGCTGTTGTTATGAGAGCTGTGCTTGTTTCCGAGGGACCACGGCAGAAGAGCGACCTGACAAAGGCTCGTGATGAAGCTGCTCGGCCCGCTGCCACTTCCCCCCCGATCACCAGAACAGGCATGTGAGAGCAGCAAGCGAGCAGAGGGCAGGAGAGCACGGACACTGAGAGGACCAACAGCAGCGGATTTCTCTCCAAGGGCAGGGGAGGTGTGGCATGAGGTGGCAAGGAAATGAGCAGCGCAGGCAACCAGCAGCTGTGCCACATTCCAGCGCCTCACCTCACCGTCTGCCTTGCCTGCACTGCAAGCAGCAGGTGGTGTTGCGGTGACATGAACAGAGGCCCATGCCATCCATGCGCCCAGTGCATTGGCCGTGGCCCACCAGCAGATGCTGCTTGGCAGGCGCTGCAACGCACAGCATATAACACCCAGAACCCTCAGCCTCGTCTCCACATCCGCCCACGAATCTGCTGACATCCCTGCTAGCACCGACCCCTCCATGTGCTGCGGGCTGGTTCCCTTGGCCGAACCAGCACCAGCAGCTGCACTGCGTGGGTACGGCCTATCAAGGAGCTCCAGTGCGGAGTCTGCCGGCCATGCTTCTTTTATTCTCTCCAGCACTGCCGCCAGCAGCTGCCTCTCGCCCCACCCACACGCCGCAGGAGCGCTCAGCTGCTGCAGCTGCCATGTCATCTCCTCCTCCTGCACCAATAACCCATGGAACGACACGCCACGCCTCTCACTGCGTCCCACCCCACCACTCGCCTCTTCCACCCTTGCTGCTGCTGCTTGCTCCACATGCCCTGCCATCCCTCCTCCTGCTACTGCTGGGTTCACCCCTTCGTCCCCTGCGATTTCCTCCGCCTCCTCTGCCAACCCACCCACTGACGTCCCTCCACCCCCTGACCCCCTCCGCCTGCTCGCTGCACTCTTCCCACCGCGCCTCTTCTTAGCGCTCCCCCTCGCTTGCTTCCCCCCGGCCTCCCGCCCGTCCCCGTCCTCCCCGCCCGCTTCCTCCTCCACCCCTCTCCTCCCCATCGCACTGCTCGCACCTCTCTTCCTCTTCCCCTTAACCGCGCTTTCCCCCGCGCCCCTCTCCTCATCGGCCACCGCCCGCCTGTCTTCATTACCTCGTGGCTGCTCGCCAATCGGAGCATCCAGTGTGGCAGGGCGAGGGGCACGCAACGTGGCCTTGTGGCGGAACACGGGGTGGCGGCGCAGCAGCAGAGAGAGGCACGCAGCGAGGGGAGTGCTGACTGGAGGGGGAGAGGCGAGGAGAGGGAGTAGGCTCAGCAGGAGGCGGTGGGAGTGGGGCGAGGAGGAGTCAGCAGGTGTGCTTCGTGGGGAGGAGCAGGGGGATGGCGATGGCGGGAGAAGAGGAATGGTGCGGCGCAGGCAGGTCAGAAGAGCGACCTGGCAGTTGAATCGTTCACAAGGGAGGGAAGGTGGGGCAGCAAGGGAGGGGAGAGGGGGGGTTGAGTGAGGGGTGTGAAAACAATTCGACAAGGTGTGACAACGATCCGACGGGGTTCGGGTGGGAGGAGGGGGCAAGAAGGAGAGGAGAGTGGGGAAGAGGATGTAAGATGAACGAGGTAGAGAGGCTTGTCGCCTTGACATGAGGAATCTCAACACATCTCTGATAAGGCGAGCTGTATGTGAATATACTGAAGGGGTGAGAGGCTGTGAGAGGTGTCAGAGGTGAGACCGCACCTGGAGCTGCAGGCAGGAGGTGTGCAGCAGGGCGTGTGGGAAGAGCGAGAGCAGCAGTGACGCACACACGCGCAGGGTGCCGTGGGTGGCAGCAGAGGCGAGTGCGTGCAGGCACTCCGCCAGGCTCTGGTCGTAGCACGCCGTCCTGATTGATGCGGGTACATGGAAGATAGCAGTACATGGGAGATAGCAGTACATGGGAGATAGCAGTACATGGGAGATAGCAGTACATGGGAGATAGCAGTACATGGGAGATAGCAGTACATGGGAGATAGCAGTACATGGGAGATAGCAGTACATGGGAGATAGCAGTACATGGGAGATAGCAGTACATGGGAGATAGCAGTACATGGGAGATAGCAGTACATGGGAGATAGCAGTACATGGGAGATAGCGGTGCAGGGGGGTGCGTGCACACATGCTCTCATGGGCACGCACACACGCTCACAAAAGCATGCGCTGACAAGGGGGACAGGGGGGCTAGGCTCAGCATTTGGTAACATCAGAAAGTGGCAAATGTGAATAAACAAGGGTGTGGGAGTGCAGACCTGAAGGCGGGAAGGCGAGGGTGCGAGGAGGAGGTGGCGAGGATGGTGAGGAGGGAGAGCAGCAGCTCGTCCGCGCACAGGGGAGGCGTGCCGCTGCTGCTGATGAGGTCCCGCAGGGCGGAGAAGCAGACCTGGCGGAGAGGGCATGGAAGGACGGGCAGGTTGTGGTGCATGGTTGGACACAGTCACACAGGGGATTTCACGCATGCATATTAATAGATGACGGTACGAATCACAGGCAGCTGGTTCAAAACTCAACGGAAGTCATGATTGAGAACACGTTGCACAGCCCACCTTGTGTAGTTGTGCGCTTCCAAAGCACAGGAAAGCACCCAGTGCGGAATAACAGTCTGCCGTAACAACCAGGCTCGGAAGCTGCTTGCCGCTGCCAGTGCTGCTGCTGCTGCTGGTGTTGTTTCTCGTGGTGTCGCCAGCACCTTGGTCGCGGGCAAGGCGTGAGAGGAAGAGCGCGCCGAACTCAGCAGCAGCCTGCCAGCGGTCCCCTGCACCCACGTGGAGCAGCACCCCACCACCCTGCTCCTCCCCTGCTTCCCACTTGGGGGGCAGATCTGACAACAGAGATGCGCTGGGTGCGTGCTGCTGCTGCTGGCTGTGGAGAGCGTGGGGCAAGGACGCAGCATACTGGAACGACATGCGGAGTGCGTGCAGTGGGGCAGGGGGCACCGACCCTCGTTCGTGGCTGGTGCTGCCATGCGCCTGGTTGCTCCCCAGCTGCATCGCCACTGCAGCTGTGTCTGCACAGTCGGAGTGACAGGAAGTGACAGCAGAGGTTCGACCTAGGAGCATATGATCAAAAGCTTAACACAACACAAAACACACCAAGCATCGCCTCACAGGAATAGAAACCTTGTACAGGATAGCCAGACAGGCATTGGAGGCCTCACATTCTCACTGGCGCAGCATCCTCATACTGGCACGTGGTGGTGTACCTTGAATGAGCGTGCGCACGTCCGACACAAGGTAGGCGAAGGCCGTTTCATCAGCAGAGCGCATGAGTGCTGCGAGCGACCACACAACGTCGACAATGCACGCCACACGCGACCTGTGACATGCGCCACACACACATGTCGATGCAACCAGCCTCACAACAAACATCGCAAGGCGTTGCTCTTCAGGCAAATTATTGTCATGAAAATCAAGAAGAGGAACTCCTGGAACGTCTGTGATAAGTGCGTGATGATGCACCATCGCAAAAAGGCAGGCTCGCTTCGCTGCAAGGCAGCAGAGCGGCTCACCTGAGCGGTGCTTCGCTGCACGGCAGCAGAGCGGCTCACCTGAGCGGTGCCTCGCCCAGCAGCACGAGCGCGCGCGCGACGAAGGGGAGCGTGGTGGGCGCATGGCCGTGGAGGAAGGTGCCAGGATAGTTCCTCGCGATGTGCATGAGCAGCTTCAGAATGGCCAGCACCTCGCGATCTCGCACTGCCACTTGCATGGGAGACGAGGGAGGGAAGGGAGGGTAGGGAGAGAAGGAACGTAAGGAGCCGACGCGGGAGCCGTTAACGGCACGAGGGCAATAAACAAGGATCCGTCTTCAGGAAAACGAGCGGCACGTAGTGACGGAGGCGGACGGCGAGATTACCGAGGCGCAGCACCAAGTGCTTGTGCACGAGCGTCGGGAGCACCTCCCGGAACCGTCGCTCCACCACCGCCGCCTCCTCGCCGTCGCCCGCCTGCGTGGCGCCTGCCGTGGCCGCCGTGGCGGTGACTGCTGTCGCCGTGGTGGCGGCGGACGGCGCGACGCGGTTGCCCAGCTCCTGCAGCAGCGCGAACACGTGCGAGCTGGTCGTCGCCTGCGTGTTCGCCATGGTCGCCCGCGACCAGCTGCGACCCTGCGAGAGATTCGCGGACAGGGCACTGAGATCGGGTGTGCGAGAAAGACGTCGGTGGTGGAGGGTAATCAGTGAAGAGAACTATATGTCGCAAGACAAGAATCGAAGCTCTGGTTTGACTCTAGTGGTGCAGAGCTGGCAAGCATAATCAATTCGGGCAACCGTGGATCTGGGTGACGGACACAAAGCCTGTGGGACGAGTCCCATTGCTCAACGGTGGAAGGCCGAGCTGAGTTCTGAACGGTGCTGTGGGGACTGCTCGCGTGCCAAAACCAAGGCCTTGGAGAAAGCGTCACCTTGAGGCTGCCGTGAATGAGGCAGTTCGGCGGGAAAAGTGTCCTCCAAGTAAGCTGATTCTCTAAAACTATAACCATTGTACCCGCACAAGTAAAATCGGTATGAATTTCTAATGTAGTCAAGTGAACCTTAACTACCACAAAGAAGGGACCAGTTACAACTCTCGCCTTAACAAATATGTTAACCTGTGCTGTACACTGGGAATTGGGTGCCATAACAGCTTACACACGTTGACTGCGAATATCTTGTACTACTTATTATTACTGCAAATGAAACAGTGTGCTCTGATTGGGAAACTACGTACCACGGTTGTCCTACAAAAAGTTACACTTTCAGTGTTGTGGTCCAACACACACAACCTGCATTCTGCCCTGGCACCTGCGCCCCATGGCCCTGCCATCCTGTTCCCCAGCACCCTAGTGCCTCACACCCTGTCCTGCTCGTCCACCTCTCGTGCTGCCTTGTTGGCTGCTTGGATCGCCAGATACAGCAGGTAGCCCTGGGAGAGAGGGGGCGGGGGCAGGGGGGCGGGCGCATAGAAAGGTGGTTCAGGGTTTAAGCAGTGCAGAGCCAGAGCAAGGTGGGAAGCACGCATGGGGCAGAGCAGTGCAGCGCTGAGCAACGGGAGGAGCTGTGTTGCAGGGATAGAGCAGGAGAGGGCTGGGGAAGAGAATTGCACGACCTCTATCCCTCGCAGCCGCCAATGGATGGAGACGTGTGACAGAATGCACGGGGCGAGTGGCATGACACATGAGCGACACATGCATGACACAGGGAAGAGCGAGACAGGGATACCGCCAGGAGGAGAGGAAAGGGAATGGAAAGGGATGGAAGAGGGAGGTAGGGAGAGAGGGAGGGAGGAAGGGAGGGAGGGAGCGAGGGAGGGAGAGAGAAGGAAACGGGAAGCGGGGAGGGTGGGGCGGAGAGGGGGCGCGGAGGGCTCACGGAGGAGGGGATGCCGGTGGTGGCGAAGAGCAGCAGCGTGGGCGCCCACAGCGGGCTGTCGCTGGTCACCACGCCGAACAGTGGGTTGCCCGCCGAAAACTCAAAGATCGACCCCACCTGCACATGCGGTGCACACAGGTTCACACGGGTGCAAAGAATCGGCCTCAGAACGGAGGGCACTCGGAGTGGTGGAAGCACGCGCACGCGCGCTCTCTCCCTCGCTCATCAGCTCGTCCTCTCGTCACCAGGCCTCCATGCTCGCTTGTCTCGCCACATTGCCTTGCCACTCTTGCCCTCGCCCGCCCCTAACGCGGTACACCGCCTACCCATGGTAGCCCGGTGCGCAACGCACAATGCTGCAGCGCGAGTACAAAATGCACAGCAGCGCGCGAGTGTGCGACGGCGGCCCGCATCCCAGCATGCGGGCCAGCGCACCCATCATCAGTTCGAGCAGCGCACGCAACGCACCGCGGCGATGGCGACGAACACGGACGCGACGAGGTACGCCCAGAACGGCACTTCGAACGGCTTGTCGCGCTGCGCCTCGGCGCGCGCCCACGGCGGCAGCTCCCCGCTCCCGGGCTGCGCCCACCCCGGCACCTTCTCCGCGTCCTTCCCCTCCCCCGCCGCTCCCGCCTCGTCTTTGCGCTCCCCCGCCGCAAGCACCCGCAGGGAGCGTCTTTCGCTGCGCACAGTGTGTGGACCCTGGCGGACGGCGGCTACCTTGGAAATGCCTTGCGCGCATGAGAGAGGGAGGGTGCGGCTGACCCGATGCAACTCTGTGCGCACGCAGCATTGCGCGCGGTGGAATAATACAGAGAGCTGCGCAGAAGCGAGCGCGACAGAAGCAGCCATGGCGGAAGCGGGGAAGGCAGAGCGTGCGCAGGACAGACCAGTTCGGTTGTGAACGCGATTACCTCTCGACCTGCTCAGGGGGCATCCAATCGAGGGGCATGATTGCCCTGAAGAAGCTTTCTCGTTTAGGCTTGAAATACCTCGAAAAGTGATGCTGAAAATGATTGTTATGAATGAACTACAGAGTGCGCAAGATAAACTAATATCCAAAATGTGACTATTTGAATACAAATGAAAGTGATGGGAAACTATAGGGCGTGTTGAAGCAAAATGAAAAGACATGCAATTCAGTAGCTCGTTCACTACATTAGTATCGTAAAATTATTATTTGTGTGTGTGTGTGTGTGTGTGTGTGTGTGTGTGTGTGTGTGTGTGTGTGTGTATGTGTGTGTGTGTGTGTGTGTGTGTGTGTGTGTGTATGTGTGTGTGTGTGTATGTGTGTATGTGTGTGTGTGTGTGTGTGTGTGTGTGTATGTGTGTGTGTGTGTGTGTGTGTGTGTGTGTGGGGGTGTGGGTGTGCGTGCGTGCGTGCGTGCGTGCGTGCGTGCGTGCGTGCGTGCGTGTGTGTGTGTGTGTGTGTGTGTGTGTGTGTGTGTGTGTGTGTGTATGTGTGTATTACTGTATCTCAGTAACTAAATTAAATAGGTAGAGAGAATGATGGGATTAGGTTGAAGATTGTTCGTGTACCCCCTAGAATGCAACTCACTACTGCCTATCCAAACAATAAAATGCAGTTTGACACACCGCCACCATACAGGTTTTAGGTTTGGATTTTGCCTTCTCACGATTGGCAGTGTAGCTGTTTCAATAACCCTTCTGATCAGGGTTCGTGCTAAGAATTGGGGCATCCTGAGGCCTCAGGGCACTTTTCTAAAATCTTAAAAAATGCCCTGATTTGTCAGGGCAAATTTTCAGGACCTTCCTGTATGTTCAGGGCTTCTACAGACATTAATCCTGACCTGTCAGGGCAAAAAAACCTGAGTTCAGGGTTCAGAGTTCAGCACAGACCAGACAAGACTCTGCTGAGCAGAGCCGAGCAGAGCATAGAAGCATGGCACACGACGAGCTGGGAGCGTTCACTGTTTCCCCCATCTTATTGTCAAACATATGCATATCTTATATTTGTTGGTAGGCTGTGGTGGGCTAGATACTGTGGGGTATAACCCCTTAGTGTTTCCCTCTTGTACAATTCTCTCGATAGTCTCAAGCCATTCATGCCTAACTCTAAGATGGTATCTAGAGCAGTAGGTCTTTAGGACCTAAGTTCGGGCCCACCCGTTACCATGTTACCTCACCTACGGCCTTACCTGCCTTGTCTGCCTGTTTGCCTTGCCTGCTGCCCGCGCGCGCCTCGGCTGCGCGCGCACGCCTTTTTTTTTAGCGCGCGCTGCTGCTGCCAGCTGCGTCGCGCCCCGCACGTCGCCCGCGCAGCCCGCCCTGAGCCCGCGCAGCCCGCGCGCGGCCCGCAGCTGCCCCGCGCACCGCCCGCGCAGCCCGCGCCGAGCCCGCGCAGCCCGCGCCGAGCCCGCGCAGCCCGCGCCGAGCCGCGCGCAGCCCGCGCACCGCCCGCGCAGCTCGCGTCACGCCCCGCCAGCCCGCGCGCGGCCCGCCACTGCTCTGCGTGCCGCCTTACCTGCTCGCGCCGCGCCTCTGCCGCCTGCCTGCTTGCCTACCTTAAGCGCCTGCCTGCCTTGAGCGCCTGCCTGCCTTGTGTCAGCCTGCCTGGAGGGCGCCAGCCTAACTTGCGCGCCTGCCTGCCGTCTAAGTCTGCTGCCTGTGCCTACTGCCGGTTCCTGCTGCATTTCTCTGCACTGCGACTATGGCGACGCCTCATATTCTCTCGTTTGAGCGTGACGGTAGCCCGATCGAGTTCATAGTGTGGCTCGACGATCTCCAACTGTTTCTTATGACGGATGCCAAAGACGACGTTTCCCTGTTTGCTTCGCGTCTGGCACTGCCCCTGAACCTGCTACTGATGCTTCTGCACTTGACCGCTCACAGTGGCAGACTCGCGATGCTGCTGCACGCCTCGCTATTCGCAATCACCTGCCGATCCCCGAGCGCGCGCATTTTAGCCAGCACAAGACTGCTAAGGCACTGTATGACGCTGTAGTTGCGCGCTACCCCTCGCCCGCCATTGCAGCCCTAGGTCGTCTCATGCTACCCTACCTGTTCCCCGACCTGTCCTCTTTCCACACTGCTGAGGACCTCATCGCTCACCTGCGCGCTAGTGACGCTCGCTTTCGATCCGCCCTTAAGGACGAGTTTCTCGCCAAGAATATCCCTCCGATGTACTTTACGCTCTACTTCCTTGTCACCCGCCTCCCTGACACGCTTCGCTCGGTCAGGGACCACTTCCTCGCTCTAGACCCTACCGCTCTCACCGTCGACGACTTCGCGACGCAGCTTCTCGCAGCTGAGAAGAACATCCTTGCTGTGGGTGCGGCTCGTTGCGCTCCTCGCACTCCCCTCTTTGAGGGGTGCTCCCCCTCCCCCCTTACCCCCTCCCACGCCTCTGCTGCTGCTGCTGTCGACTTCCTTGGTGCTGAGAAGGTCGCAGCTGCTTCCGCTGTTGGTGGGAGGCGCAGTGGCCCCAAGGGAGGCAGGGGCGGCAAGGGTGGTGGACGTGGCGGTGGAGGGGGCGGTGGTGGAGGCGGCGGGGGAGGTGGAGGTGGTGGGGGTGGTCGTGGGGGTGAAGGTGGTGGTGGGGGTGGCGATACCGGGAGTGTTGTACGATGCGATCATATGCATTCACGTCTGTCTGCCTCCCATCATGTGTTCGTACGTTGCATGCGTGGTGTTAGCGTGTGCAAGAAATTTGTGTTTTGTGTGGTTTGGATTTCCTGAGTGTGTGTGAATGTTATCTTGCTTGAGCAGATATCTCAAATGACTAATCTGCTCGAGAGCGTTCCGACGAGCCAAGAGTCGTCACGATCGGAGCACGATCAAGAAAGTTACGAACATTGAAGTTCGTATGCTTTTGATATTTGGTTGTGGCGACTATGGGAAGTTGTGGGGTTGACTTTATATGGGGTACAGACCTTTTGGGGTTGGGAAATTCGAACCCATCACTGTAGATGCTGCCATGTGGTTGGGAGAAGCCAAACCAGGTTGGCAAGTGTGGCCAAGTGGGGTGAGTGTCGGAGTGAAAGGCCCCGCCCTCGCTTGGGCGCAGGCATTCTCTGCGACGACGTGGTGAATTCGACGAAGTGATCGTCGCATTGGATCAGCCCGTCCTCTGAAACCGCGGGTGGTTTTCGAGGAAGGTTGTCCTCTGATTCACCAGCCCATCGACGAGCTCTGGTCGACGGGGTGCTGTTCGACGAGCTCGTCTTCTGATCTGCTTCTGGGTCGCGCGATCTCTGACGGACGGGGTCTGTTTCGAGGAGCCGCGTTCTCTGACCAAAGGGCGCTGTTCGGCGAGCGTCAGCTCGGCGAACTGGTCGGCCGAATTCGCGCGACTGCGAAACTCTGTAAGGGCATGCGAAATTCGCTCAGGTGGTCCTTAGCGAAATTCGACCTCCGAAATGGCATCACGTGCTCAACGGTGGGCATCTGGAGAAACCGTCGGAGCGTTTACTACCTGGAACCTGCGCAATGTCTCTGACGGTGCAACCGTCTACCTGCACCTACTCGGCAGGTGCACACCTGCGCAGATATTCACCTGCGAATGCAGCGCTGGCAGGCCGCCCTGTTGCAGCGCTGGCATGTCGCCCTTCTGCTACGCTGGCAGACCGCTCTGTTTCAGCGTTGGCGAATCGCTCTGATGCAGTGCTGGCAATCCGTCTTGCAGAATGGTTGCTAGGGATTGCAATGCCATTCCAGAGATATCACTTTGCATGCTCATTCTTGTACTCTAATTCTCAATTTTCAATGTACTTTCAATTTCCTTAGTGGAAACTCTTGCCAAATCTCTTTGTGAACAGAGCAAGTAGTGAGAACTCTGTTAGAACGCTACTAGAGCGCTACGATCACCCACACAACTCCGTGCCCTCCTTCGTAGTCCAATCCCGTTGTAGGGTGACTCTCCACATGGTGCGGTGAGCGTGGAACGGCCCCGCGTTAGAACCTTCAGAGTAGCCGACTTTAGTGCTCAATACCTAAGTTGTTGTAGGCCGGCAGTCTAAACCGCCATGGTCGACCAGGAGGAGGTCGCTGCAGTCGTAGAGGATACCCTGCAGGCGCGGTTAGATGACGTTCGGGCACGCCACGCAGCTGGCGAGTACGGCGGAGCAACCTTGGATGTTATGCTCTTTGGAACCCGCGTGCAGTGGGCGCGCGAGCACCCAACGACAAGTACTGAGGCGGATGGACTGCCCGCCACTCCCCGACCGGCACGCAACGAAGGCGGCGTCGACGACCAGGTCGACGGTGGTAACCAAGTCGGCAGCGAAGGCAGCACGAGGCTTCGTGGAGTGATTCGGGCCGCTGACTTTGGCGTCGGCGGAATGCAGGCACGAGTTCAGCGCTCGGCGGCAGCGGGAAGTTCGAACGGCAACATCGATGGTCGACGCCTTTCTCCTCAGCGGAGTGGAGCCAGGCCGACATCGGCGACTCATGCGTCGGCTGGTCGCGACGGAGGCATCGCGCCAGCGTACGGCTACTTCAAATTTTCGCCGGACAAGATCGCTGTGCCGCAGCCGCTCGAAGGACGACACGGCTTGATCACATGGATTGAGTCAATCGAACCTCAGCTGGAGATCGCCGGATTGAAGAAGTTCGTTGACGGCAAGGTAGAGATGACGGACAAAGACGACTCTGAAATGCTGGCGGAATTTCGCGCTGCTCATCTTCTGACCTTCATGGTCATTTCGAGGTGTTGTTCGCCGCTGGTGCAAGTCGCGCTGAAGCAGTGCCGACTTCAAGTGGACGCCGGCTACCAAGCGTGGCAGTACATCATGCGCACCTACAGAGCGACCGACGACCTCTACATCAGCCAACTGGAGAAGAAATTGGCCACCATTCGCATGGGCGAGCAGGAATCGGCGACCGAGTACTGC